GTGGTCTGGCTAAACACGTTTCCGTACAGTGTCCCTAAAGCCATTCCAACATCCGCTTGGGAGGAACCAAGCTTGATCCTTCGCTGCTTAAATTCCCTCGCAAACTGTTCGAGATCATCTGACGAAGGAGTCGTTTCCTCGGTCTCCGATTCTTCTTCCAGTCGCTCTTCGGTCTTGTTTACGCCGATTGTCTCTAGCTTTTCGGGGGACTCACCTTGTAATTGAACGTAAAGAACGACACTGTTGTTTGAGCTGTATGTTTCGGGTGGACCATCCGTTTGATTTGCCTGCATTTTGCTGTAAACTGTAACCTAAACCAGCGACATGAGCCGAGTAAGGCAAGGAAGCTCCATTCGGAATGCTGTCCCATGAGCACTCGAGCCCAATACCGTCTGAGATGCACGCGCGCGAAAATCCCCAAAATAATTTATGCAGCACAGGAATCCCAAGCAAGCTAAAATCAAACTCGTCCCCAGGGCTTTTCCCGCTCCTCCCATTTTCCAAGGAAAAAACCCAGGCCGGCGACGACAAATGGACGAGGTTCGGTAGAAATGACAATTAGTTTCCCAAAAAAAAGACTACAGTTTATTTAAAACAAAAATATCTCTCTAGGATACGTTTTCCTCAATATATAATGGGACCGTTCTTTCCTTCTTTTTTTCACGGTTTACTTGAAAGAGGGTCTACCGCCAGCCGTCAAACAACTAAAACTTTAACCGTCAACCGTCAAAAAAGTCAATTTTTTTACCGTCAAGCGTCAAAAATGCAGCTCAGTATTGAATTTCTTTTCGCAACTCCCAAAGTTGCGTATATAATTGCGATAGTCTTCCTTCATATAATTCAATATTGTCCGCCAAAACGTTTCCAGGTATTTCAAATTTCGCTATTTTAGCTGATCTTCACGGTTTTATGGCTCCTGAAGAATCTTCGAACTGGAAAAGCCAGTTCCCATGTTTTCAAAAACAGTCTCTCCAGACATTAAATTACTGCTTTTGTCTGAAAACATTTTGAAATTCACCAAGTGAAAGGCCAAGGCAACCTCCAAAACACAACAGTTAATTAATAGAAATTTAAACAGAAGTTGATATTTACTTTCACTCATGTACTAAATTTCCACTTAATGACAGTCAACCGTCAAAAGCTCTAAAATTTAACCTTCAACCTTCAGAACTTGAAAAAAATTAACCGTCAATCGTCAAAGCGACCACGCCATCTGTTGCTTGAGTTCATGATCACTGGATTGCATGTTTCTCACGGCGGCCATATTCAGTAAGAGCAGGAGCCCATAACCTTGATAAGAGGTATTTTCCCCGCTGGAACTAAACTCCATAAGCATATAAATTTTTCGAACACTTTTCTCTTGTATAAACTAAAAGGGTTTAGTTTTATCGTTTGTCTCACGATTGTCACTTTAATATTGATCGTCAATATCAAAGTGCCAATCGTGAGACAAACGATAAAACTAAACTCTTTATACACATTATCCACGATGATTAATATCTTTCATGACATTGAACTTTTTCTTGTGTTGGCCACCATCATGGCTCCCTTGTCACGTGATAAGGCTCAAGCTCCTACGTACTGACTACCGCTGTTCGGGAAATGAGCCCGCTCTTCGGCCATCCCCGAAAAGATCTATCGGGAAGGAACAAGACCACACTCGAGAGAGGAGTGGAAATTGCTTGAGCCTCACTAAGGATTGAAACTCCTCTGAAATAGAAAGATGTTTCAGTTGCCCATCCCATCCCAATTCCTAATATACCACTCATGTTCACCAATAACGTTTAAGGGCGTTTTATGAAAACCGTACGAAACCATAGACTCCTTACGAAACTGACTGAGAAGAATGTGAAGGATCCTCCAGGTCTTGCCAAAGTGTTTATTGCCGAATATTCAACATCCAAAAGAAAAACGTTAGTCAGGAAGGTAGTATATAAAGTCAAGAGAGAATTTTCTCCAGCATAAATTCAGTTTTTCAGTCCCAGATATTTCCTTTAGCAGATACCTAAGCTATACCTGTATGGGCACATTATTGGTTTCTCGTACTGAACATCCTTAGTGCGACCAAACTAAGCAATTTGCACCCGTAGATAAGACGACGAACATAGATTAGCCCCCCACTCACCCACCCCACCCAACGCTCAAGGACAAAATGGGACAGAACTATGTCAGTCTTTGATTTCCCTGGATGACTAGACTGTGCGCAATTTGGGAAAAATTACAAACACGTGAGTAAAGACAGTGAAAAAAATAATGAGATATGTTTTTCTTAGTACAGCGTCCGAGTTCACGTACCTCACAGCGGATTTTGGACAGGTCATTCAGTTTAGCTTTTGGCCATCATCAAAAAGTTGTTGACTTTGTACGAAAAGAAAACTTCCAAACGTTGCTGTGTTACATTTGCAATTTATGATAAATGGGCTATTACACTGCATAAATTTAAAGACCTTCGCAATTTTGACATATCCGTCAATCAGTCCAGACACCACTTAAATATCAGAATTTGTGGAACGTAACACGTAGCTCAGCAATTAGGGAAGAAAATAAAGAGGTCACGAACACATTTGTCTTTCGTCACTTAGTTCCACGAATTCTTTTGAAGCATTTGTAGTATGCAGATAACCAATCAAAAGTCACGAAAGGTCTGTCAAAAATGCTCTCAAAGGAATATCAGTGTCCTTTACTCTCAGTAAACATCTTATCTGAAAGTTCTTGGCTAGTCCTTGATCGTCCTTAAAGTCAGCTCAGGGGTTTTAGCTAAAACAACATGGAATTAGTAAAAGAGAATCCGGAGAAATATTATGCTTTTGGCGAGGAAATTGGAAGGTAAATATACGTTTCTTAAAGTCTTTTTTCAGAATTCATCAATTGGAACCGAGCTTAAAGTGATTTGATTTAAACTCACACAAAAATTGCAACTATTAATGACTTGAATGATTGTGAAATGTATCTCTTGCGATTTACGAGAAAAACTAACCGCTAAAGAAGGTTTTAGCACGCCTAATTCCACTTAGAAAATGTTTGACACGGTTTGCATGCAAAATACTTTGTTTTCTCTTTGTAAGTAGTGTGTGTAAAGTTACATTGAGAAGTGACGGTAAGGTCGCGTCGAATTTGTTTATACTTCATGGACACAGGAACCTCATACTTCCGCCAATGATGGAATTTACTGCAAGCTTTTTTTCAGTAAATGAATATATTTTCATCTTCTTAACTTCCTCATCGTACAATTCACGCTTTAACTTACCTTGGAATTAAGCAATTTCTTGATGCCTAGAGGACGTCTATATAATTTGTTAGGGCTGACTCCTCTCGGAGGTTTAGCCCTATTCTGTTATATTTGTATTTACTCCTCTTTTTCTCCTTCGATCAAAATGGCACCTTTCGTATGCCTATAGAAGCCTTTCTACAACTTACTTATTCTTTAAAGATGATAAAAAAAAAAATCCAGAGGGGATGGGCGGTGGGAGGTGGTTGGCTTCCATCACAGCTTTTGAGCATCAAGTGTGTAAAATTCCTATATGGATTTTTTTATTCGATAAGTGTAACAATATTTGAGCATGAAACTTTCTTTTTCGAGGAAGAACCGAATATTTTGAAGCAATGCAGCAAAGGAAAACTAGACCTCATTGTGTTTATACAACTGTGAAGTTTGCGCAGCTCTTACTAGCTGGTCACGTTTCTCCATTTACCGTTTTATGTTGACCCCAGGGTCGCCATAATCAATCTTTGTGGCTGTTTTCTTTTAGATTGCAGGATATCCTTCCTAAAAGGGAAAACATTAACCTGTCTTGTAAATGGAAAGGTCCGACAACTTAAGCCACTTCTATTTTTCTGGCGCGGAGCATTACCATCTGGAATTTACTTGAAATACTCATTTGCAATTAACTCTTTTAAACCGAATCATTTTAGTATATTAATGTGATTGACAACAGACAGGAAATAATTTTAAGTCTCAAAAGTTTTGTTTTTAAGACAGTAGTTTTCATAAACAATTTAATGGGATAAAATATTTTCGAAGATGGCACCCGATATCATGGAAGACCTTTTCAAAGTTAAATTCTCGACTAAACCACCAAGATAAAAATGCTTAAAATACATCTCTTTTTAATTTTCATTCAACATGTCTGTGTTTTAAAATTGGAGATGTTTACTTATTGCAAAATTACTAACACGACGTATGGAAGGCATTCGTTTTACAGTCCTACGAAGATGTGCCGCTGGCTCTTCGAGACTCTTTTCCTTTAGAGCTCAAGACAAGAGAACAATAAAAGGGCCATCTTGTCCAAAAAAGGTGATAACCAGTTCCAGAGTCAAAGTGGCAAAAGGTATAACCTCTTGACTGGCACATCCCCGTATAGCCCACTCAGGCATGAGACTGAGTAATAATTGATACAAAACCCAGCAGAGTAGCTGTATCGATCCTTATTGTTTTTCAAGAACCAGTCCTATGCCATTTCGCTTTATTAAAAAAACCTTTCATTTGACCGATCAATTTTTGCCAAACCAAATTAAGCTCCTAAAGACCTCCTCAGCGTATAATTCTTTCTTAACAATATCACCAGGGGCCAATCACCCTCCCTTATAACCCTCCCTAGGTTCTCTCTCTCCTCTGCAGAGGCCGCTTTGCATCGTAAGGAGGCTGGGGAGAGGGGAAAAAAATCCTCTTCCCATCGTCCCCTGCGCTTTTCCTATTTTTTCATTATTGTCATTTTTATCGGAACACCCAGCGGGAGATTCGGCGGAGAAGAGAGCCTAATGTTGGCTTCTTAATTCTGGCGACAGGTGGATCAAAAACGATTCAGCCCATAGCCTGCGTAGCTGGAAGGATTCTTGTGCCCGTGGTATTTTCTTTTTTCTCGGCGGTGGAGCCTGTACGCGAAGTGAGCGGTGAAGCTGCGAGGGCCAATCTCGCCAGCTACGCAGGTTACGGCCCTACGGAAAGCGGGTTGCAAATATTGTATCTTCTTTAAGGAAAGGGCAATGGGGATATGGGGCGCATGAAAACGCGCGCATCCTATTTCCACTTTTTCTTAACTTTCAAAAGTCTGCCACGCAGGTTAACGTCAAAGTGATATGGGCATCCCCGCATTTTGGGCATCCCCATTCCCTTAAAGCCCTAGAGTTATGAATATCCCCTGTAACCCTAACCCTAACCCAAATCGTTAAGGTGATATGAGAAGGGGATGCCCATATCACTAGGGTTTTGGGAATGGGGATGCCCAAAACGCGGGGATTCCCATATGCTCCCCCCAGGTTGCTGTCAGTCAGCTCAACCAATTAAGGAGCTTTAGCAAAGACGTTTTAGAACCACGAATGAAAACCGGAAGTGGACTTTTTGCATTCTTGAGACGTGGTTTTTCTTATTTTCTGAGCGAATCCTTTCTACAGGAGTAAGGAGACCCAGCAATACAATTAATTTTGGTAGTGTTAATACATATTGAAAGGCAAATGGCCTCACTTTCTGTTGAAGTTTGTCGCTAATAAAACGTCTCTGCTTTAGCTCCATAAATATGACTTAAAATTCATTTAACAGAGGAAAGTATGCGGTGATCAAAACATGCTCTGCTAAGAAAACAGAAAAGAAACTTGTAGCCAAGCTGATCAAATACGAGTCTGAAACTGAAAAAAATGCCAAGCAAGAGTTTGACATCATGAAGACATTCAAACACGACAAGCTGTTGATGGCCAAGGATGGATACATCGTTCAAAAATACGTCGTGATTTTAATGGACCAGTAAGTATTAATATTCGCATCCTCTTTAAAAAGGGATCTTAGTAGAATATGAGTTAGGAGCTATAGCATCATTCTAATGATCAGCGCCTCTTTTGTCTTTGGCTAGTTAGGGTCTTAGCACACTCACTCTGTAGCATCCAATCTGGGTGATAAAATATTTACCCTTATCTGGCGAAGGACAGAAGAAAGAATATGTCCAGTTTGTAAACTAGAAATGGAGGATGAATATCACTTTTTAAATGTATGTTCCGCTTACCAGGAAAAAAGAAACGTGATCCTATTCGATAACTAGAAAAATGATCATCTTATAAGAGTGAACGAAATGTGTCACCAAATGAAATATTCAGATTTTTAATAAATCCCCCTTACGAGAAGCCTGAACCCAAAAATTGATAACGTAACATGTGTTCGAGTGTCTGTCTGTATGTAAATATCACTATTTGTAATAACTTGTTATGTATAATGCTATAAATAGCTTAACATAGAAGATTGTAATTTTAAATTATTTGGAAAGTAGTAGATGTACCAGGCGGTGTAAGATTGTCTATTTACCATGTCTCTATTTAGTACGGCTGTGGCTCAGTGTTACTGAAAATTGAAAATGACCCCGTCTAATGGATTTATGACAATATGTCTGCCTAATGCGAGCAATTTAACCTACGCGTGTAATGTTCCTATTATCTGATAAGAGTCGAAGGCAAAGATGTACTTGAATTCCTTGGAGGAAGATCCAAAGCCAGTGAAGAGGATGCCTCGTTAATAATTGCACAACTTATTGAAGCACTAACCTACTTGCACAAGCAGAATATTGTACACCTTGATATCAGGGTAAGACATTGATCTCTTGCAATCCAGTTACCTCCTTAGCTGAGCTAGCTCTCGTTTGTCGCGAGGTAGAAGCCTTGACTGGACCACCAAGGGGGTAATAGGTTATTTCTGAGTTCCAAAAACTGTCATTTTCAAAATGAGGCCAGGTGCAAAAACGTTCTTGTATGAGTTTCATTTGCATGGCAACTCGGAAATGACCTATTGGAACTTTTTTCATTTTCATTGATTTTTTTCCCATTCCATCGTAAATAATACAAGATAAATCACGGACAAACGTCAATGCCGTCAGTCATTGAAAGTTTACAATAGGTGAAAGAAAGGCTATTTATTTCCGAGTTCCAGAAACTCTCATTTTCAAAACGAGGCCAAGTGCAAAAACGTTCTTGTGATAATGAGTTTTATTTGCACGGCAACTCGGAAATGACCTATTGGAAGATCATTACATTTTTAAAATAAGTTTGTCAGAAAGAAGCAAAAACTAAAAAATGGAAAGGAGGGAGGCTCATCTCGGTCAACTAATATTGGGCCCCTAAAATAACATAGAAATATTGTAGGTGCTAATAAATAGGCAAAGATAAAACCGTTAAATTGCAGAATAGACGAGACAAAAAACATGGCCGTCTTTCTCGTTGGCCGCTGACCAAGTATAAAAAAGTCGGGTTAGAGAGAAAGCAAGGATTAGACGACCTCCTGTGCGGGAGGTCCGGAGTTCGATTCGCAGTTGTGACCTCAAATCTTTGTTCCTACTTTGTTCCTTTCTTTGACGCTTTAAGTAGCTTTAATATCTGTAAAGCGGAGCATTAATGATGAGAGAGGGAAAAATGTGCACACCAGCGGCCTGCGGTGTTTGTCTAATGTAATGATGCAGAATGGGGAGTGATCCTCAAACTAAGCGGTTGAAAAAGAACCTGAAAATTAATTCAGGCTTGACCGGGAATGGAACCCTGACCTTGCGATGACCGAACGCAACGCTCTATTCATTTAGCTAATCAAGCAAGCTGTAGACCAGGCCATTGTGAGTTCGTAATATACCCGACAGTGGAAATGACATGAATGGAGATATATGAAGTGACTCACATTTTGAACTGCGCATAAAGACATGAAAGTGGAAATGATCCTCGTAGTTGAATAAACGACCAAAGTAGTTTCCACCATCGGGTATATTACGACTACTCAAAATGACCTTGACTCCTTTGTCCTCCTTTCATAAATTCAAAGGGAGCGTCCTTGACTCGTTTTGTTCAGAAAGACTGAGAGATACTGAACCCGGTGCTGTAGTCAATCGTTCATGGAGACGGGGGATTCAGTACTGCTTCGACTACTTTGCTAACATAAACAAGGCTGGCAAAGACAATGCTCTCTGGCAAGGATTTCCTTGCATTCTCAAGGCACATTTGCTTAGCTTCTTATCCTTTTTCATGTCAATAGCCTGCGAACATTTTAATGTCAAAAGATTTCAAGTTAACACTCATCGATTATGGAAATGCCAGGCGGATCAAGTCTCCTGAAGGTCAATTGGTTGACGCTGTTGGAGTGACAGAATTCACAGGTGGGTACAGGGAGTAACCGTTAAAGTCCCCACAAGGAGCGACAAAAGTTGAACTAAAATGATCTTTCTTAGTCTTAACTGTCGACGTTAGTAGTAAGCTAATCACACATTACGGGTAACACCCGTATTCTTCGCCCGCAAAACAGTCGTTTCCTTACAACTGCACATGAGGCGCAGAAAGGTATTGGATACCAGAGCAAAAAAAAGAAAGAGTGGTGGGAGGGAGAAAAAAGAAAAGTAAACGTTTCCCTAATCTCGTACCCAGATCTCACTCTGTTTTACACTGAAAAGTGGCCGTGGGAGATCTGGGTACGAGATTAACGTTTCCCGTCTCCTAATCCCTCTTGATCTCGCTCCTTGCTCAGTTCTGCCTCTTGCTTTATCACTCCAGTAAAACATTGCTTCGCATGCAGGCAGCTGTATTGTCTTCACGCTTGCCATTCGATTCACATTCGTTCCCAAGCTTTGCCAAGTCGCTCCTCTCTTAAAGAGCTACTGATAAGGAGCGCCTTTTTTCCGCCAAGAAATAAGGAATTTCTCCTGATACTGGAGTGAAATACAAAAGACAGAGAGAGCAACACTTCAAACTAAGATCAAGCGCCCCCACGCCAGTCTAACCTCGTGCTAAATAAGCGTTATTGCCCGAATACTTTCCGTATTACCACATGTTCGGTCAAGTGAATCCAGTATCCCCAGTGATATAAAGAAATAATTAATTAGTAGACGCGAGCAGCTGCTTTGTTCTTATTGGCTGGAATATTCTAGCTTTGAGCGTCATTGATGTCTGGTCCGCTCTGTCCTGACCAACCACTATTTATTCCGATAATAAGTGACGTAAGTTCAGTCGTTCACCCTTTTTGCAATTTACTCTTTTACACTTTTCTTTCAGCACCTGAGGTCCTCAACTTTGAGCTAACTCACTGGGGCGCGGATATGTGGAGCGTGGGGATACTACTCTACATACTGTAGGTTTTCAATGAGCCCTTTCAATTAATAACCTTTATAACTGATAGCTATTTCAATTGGCCATTCTCGAGTTTCAATACGAGGCTAAATACAAAACTTTTGTTGTGAAAATGAGTTTTATTTGCATGAGAATAAACAATCATTTGGCACAACTCAGAAATGGCCTGCGTGAATCGATGTGAAAATTCAATCAGCTTGAGTCCATGCATTGAAGACTATTACATCACTTTCCTTTCATCAAAGATCTAAAATTCCCTTTTAAAAGCCACAAAGTTTGGTGCAGTCAAATGTCCTTAAAATTATATCATAAGCGTTCATTTTAGCGTCGCTGTTATGATTACTGTATGATGAGAAGAGGTTTAAAAGTGAGCTTTTAGAAACGAGCCAGGGGCAATACCTTATATGGGCAAGATAGGTATGTGCCGCTCAATAGGGTATGGTTTTGAGGGTTGCCATCCTTAAATGGGGTGTCATTTTTGTCCTTGTAGGCTTTGTGTTATATCAGCTACAATTCAAGTGCGTAAACTGGGCCTCTTTTTTCAGGTTTGGGCCTTAAGTAGGGTTTCAGTTTTCGTTTGTCTCATCCTTAAACAGGGTCAGCGTTTGAGACCTTGGGCGCATAACAGCTACAAGAAATTAATAAGAGCTACCCCCCCCCCCCCTCCCCGGCAGGGGAAACGAGCTAGGACAAAATCAGACTAAGTTGTTTGTTATCTACAATCAGCGGAGAACACTGAAAAATAATAATGAGAATCTGTACTTATTCTATCCGCAGATAGGGTGGCGGAAGTTGTTATGGACAAGGAGCTTAACTTAAAGAAATCCCCCATCCGAGCTGCCATGCCAAATTAACCGATAAAAATAATTTATTGATTATAAGATTGATTGACTGACATCTCCTCCTTGTTTGTATCAACAGATTGAGTGCAACATTGCCTTTCACAGTGGAAGACGCTGATGATGACGAAGATGTTGACGAAAAAGTTGCTGCAAAAGTCCGAGCTGCCAATGTTGTCATGCCAACCAATTTATTCCGTAATACCACTGAGGAGGCCGAAAACCTGATAAAAAAACTACTCGTTCGTCAGCCCGAGTAAGTCTCGATAGTATATCCTTCACGACTAGCCTTTTTAACCACCATGAAGAAGCCTCTTTGTGATAACTAGGAGGCTGAAGGGAGAGAAAAAGAAAGCGCCCTAGTAACGTCCTCCTGCACGTCACCTCTGTTGAGGAGAGAGTTAAACTGAAGTAAGCTACACAAATTCCAACTCATGTGATTTTGTGGGACGTGTTTCAGCAAATGGAGGTTTGAAAATACGTCACTAGTTTAAGCTTTAGTTTGGAGCGTGCAGGAGTCTCATGCCACGTTTTATACGTTTTATACGTTGATGGGCTCCTGACGTCGTCTTTTAAACGTCCGGCGAACTTCACATGCGCGGAACCTATTAATATTATTAGTGTTAAGCTATAAAGTACGTCGTTCATTGTTCTGTTGTAACTAATGTTGTGTCAATTATTTCAGAGCAATTAGTTGGTAGCGCGAAGTCAACTTAGTGGTGGCGAGTTAGTTAGTTAGGTGGCGAGTCGACCATTTGGTAGCAAGATCGTCGGTAACGAGGTGACAAAATTGAGCCATGCGCCTAAATTAGTCACATAAAGAAAAACGTAGACAGCAGTAAACTTGCGGAAACAACACATTTTCAATGAAAAACTTGCTTGCCATGATATACCCCAAAGAAAATAACAGGATCATAAATCCTAAAATTCCTATTTATCTTTGATTCAATTTAATCACTCAGGGAATATACTATAAATGTTCTCGGAATTTAGGAAAGAAATCCGTTTTTGGATTCACGAGTCCGGTCCCTATTCAGATTTAATTAAAGAAATAAACTGTTAATTACATGAAGGCTAAGAAATGATATAATGTTGTTCATTGTTTTTATTTCTCAATACAGAAGGCGACCAAATGCTGCAACTTGCTTAGATGATCCTTGGCTTTCGGTAAGCTCACGGCTTAGAGTCTTCTGCAAAGACTCCAGTTCTGGGAACAACCATCCGTAGCCTTTGATCCATTGACGTGTTCTCATATTTGTTCTATGCCTTGATTGTACTGAAATTGAAGTTTCTTCCAATGAAGCAACAGTTATTTGTCATAAATTTTAAGTTTTCCTTCATTTTTAACACGACTCTCCCAAAAATTTCTAACAATCGAACTAGGGGAATGTATGCGCAAAGAACAAAACATTTCAGCTTGTTGTAATTAAATTGGTTTTTATCGTTTTAAATTTTCAGTGACCGTGACTTTTTTTTTTCTCATGGTTTTCTTTTTATTCTCTTTGGACAGCCCCTTCTTACTCAGAAAAGAAAGTCTTCAGAGATACCGGCCTTTAAATTCCAGGCCTTAAACGAAAAGCTGAAGAAAGCGGTAAGTCGTAATTTCCTGCATACATTATAATGGGATCTATCCAGCAAACAATCGCCCCATACATGGTAATCCAACACAGTCTTGGAATGTGGACTCCGGATTCCAGGTATTGGAATCGGGATTCCTTGTCAGTGGAACTTGGATTCCGGATTCCAACCGTAGTTAGCGGTATTCCGGATTGCAAAGCCCAGCCAGATTCCACAAGCAAAAATATTTCCGGCATTCTGGAATCTGTATTGCCTTACATTGGACGATATGTTGTTTTTACTTATCAGCACAAGTAATGATTTTATAACTGGCCTACTTGGCAGACGTTTTGAGGAGAATTAGCCCTGCCGCGAGAGCGCCCCGGAGAGCTTGCTAGTAGGCTAGACGAGAATGGAAAAGGGAAACATGAATGGCTCACTACAGAGCGAGAAGGAAATAAGGAGAAAGCGTTCCCACCCTCCTTCTTTGCGCGCCTCAATTCTTGCTTGTCTCTATCCCCTTCAAACGCTTACCAAGCAGGCTAATTATTTACACTGCATCTATTGAAAACCGATAGGACTAAGCTGGTGGAGTCTAATTAATTCGGTGTGTCATCATATAAAATTGTGGGAGTCCTCACATAATACAATAGCTATTATCTTATTCTGCTCAAAAGGGGCCGAATGAGAAAGGATAGTACCCGACGGAAAATTTTTCAAAAATTCGGTAATAAGGATACACCTGGACATATTTCTACGTATACCTCTCGCGAGGTTAACCTCTTCCTTCGGAAAATGAAAACAAAACTGTTCCATTCATTAAATGAAATTTTTGGTCTAATGAAGCGTTTTTTTTTATGGAAACTCCCATAGCTAGTCATCTACCCGTCTCTTTTAACAGGAAGAAGACGAAATGGTCATTGCTTCTTGTGTTCTCCGTTCTTTTGAAGAAGAAACCTACGAATCTCCTGAAGAGGAAGAAGAATAATTTGTCGTCTCCTTTTGTTTCTCTAACTAATCTGTAGCGGCAAGGAAAGATTAAAAATGCAGAGCAGTCAACAGTGGTGGATTCAGACCTTAAGAAAAGGGGAGGGGGGGGCGGGGCGGGGGTGGCCACCCTGAGATAAGAGGGGGACCGGTCTCTAAAAATGTTTTTTTCGGTCCTTCGGGCCTCAGTTTGGTCTTAAATAAGGGGGGCCCTGGGGCCTCCTTGCCCCTCCTCTGGATCCGCCACTGGTCAAACGCAATATTAAAAGTCGACTCTACGACTGGTTTTCTTTAAACAAACGTCTTGTGTTTACAAAACTGAAGTATTTAACTTAATTTTTATGACCAGTGAACGTTAGAAACAGAAATACTTAAACAAACTTCAGCGAGAAACCGAATTTCGAGAAACTGGTAATAATACCAACTAACATTGATCATAAACGGTGGCAGTGGTTTGATTTCCTAGTCATCTCTCACTGGATTTTTTTTAATCAGTTGAGGATCTAACTACAATTGATCACTCATATTTAGCAGGATTTTTGAAAGCCTTACTTCGCTGGAGTCTCACATAAGTCGTTGTTACTCAACAGGAACGTTTTCTATCACTACAGCCGTTGAAAAACTATTTTCCTTTCCTTAATCTCGCTATCCCTATTTTCTTTTCAGTCTTTTCGTTGCTGCTGTAGTTTGACTTTTGGGCTTGTTGGAACCCCAAAACATTCGCGTTTTGGCCTTATTCCCGTCAAAAGACCGCAATTTTTTGTGGCTATAGTGTTTTCGTAAATCCTGCTACACTTCCTTTTATAGGCCTAATCTGCTTTGCTAAATTGGCTTCCTGCATATTTAGTCTGTAGCATTTGGCTTCGTAGTGAAAATCATCAAATATAGTTAGAAAGGTAAGCTCGACGACTTTTGTCAGTAACGTTGTATCAGTTACGTATTGCTCGCCCTAGCTAGGAGCTTTTCCTATATTTGGCCAATTATTTGGAATCCCCGGCCATAACCAAACTAAGACATTAGAAAATAGTGATTACAGTACGTTTACTAGTGCTTAAGCTTGAAATATAGTGAATTAGCTTTAACCTCACCAACCAAATTTGAAGATCAGTAAAGCGTATACCCTGGTCCCAGAGGTTTTCCTTGAATTTTTCTTCGCGTTTGCGAGAGAGCGAGCCCCAAACGGCGACAACAAGTCGAGTTATCGCCGCTTCGCGACTTATTCTCTCTTTGGCGAAGAAAAATTTCAAGAAAAACCAGTGGGACCAGGGTAAAAAAGCGTAGTGACAAAACATAGATTTAAACTGTGAAATTCTTCATTTAATTACTTTAACCGTTTGTCACTTAGAGGGACATTTTTATACATCCCAGGATTACAGGGCCGGATAAAGAATAAATAAAGTGCAGCTGTGATTTTAAACTGCTCTCGGGCTATTGTCTGGCGTGCACTCAAACCTGGAAGGACCAAATAACCAGAGTTCGGGCCAAAAATGTGGATATGTTATAACGTCATCTAATTACAGTCGACTCCCGATAACTCGAACCTTCAAGGGAAATCGAAAAAAGGTTCGAGTTATCGGGAGTTCGAGTTAACGGGAGTTCAAAGAAAATAGCCGAGAGTAAGGTAAAAAACAGTTTTTACTACACAGTGAACATTTTAATCACATTTATTGTAGAAATGTCAAGTGAAAATTAAAAGATACTTTTAGATAATAAATCAGAACGTAACGTAACAAAACATAGCCTAAATAGAGCATGCGTTTTACTGTTTTGAGAAGAAAAGGTGCTTCACGTTAGCCTGTGACAATCTACAGTCGACTCCCGATAACTCGAACCCTCGCTAACTCGAACCTCGCGCTAACTCGAACCAAAGTCGATTCCCCCAGGATTTCCGTCATACATTCACTATAATTTTACCCTCGGTAACTCGAACCCTCGATAACTCGAACTCCCACTAACTCGAACCAATTTTCGTTTCCCCTCAGGTCATTTTCTATATAATTTTACCCTCAATAACTCGAACCATGTTTTGAGCCCTTAAAAAGTCGGGATAAAAGCCGTCCACTGGTGTCCGAAACATTGAGTTTTGGATTTTCTATTGACGTGTTGTAGGAGTATAGTTTACCAGTGGAGGCTGATGTTGATTGTCAATTAGATGTGATTAAGATGTTCACTGTGCAGTAAAAACTGTTTTTTACCCTACTCTCTGCTATTTTCTTCGACCTCCCGATAACTCGAACCTTTTTCGATTTCCCTTGAAGGTTCGAGTTATCGGGAGTCGACTGTATATCAGCCTCTACTAGTAAACTATACTCCTACAACACGTTTATAGGAAATCCAGAATTCAATGTTTCGGAGGCCAGTAGACGGCTTTTTTCCCGACTTTTTAAGGGCTCAAAACATGGTTCGAGTTATCGAGGGTAAAATTGTATAGAAAATGACCTGAGGGGAAACGAAAATTGGTTCGAGTTAGCGGGAGTTCGAGTTATCGAGGGTTCGAGTTACCGAGGGTAAAATTACAGTGAATGTACGACGGAAATCCAGGGGAAATCGATTTTGGTTCGAGTTAGCGCGAGGTTCGAGTTATCGGGAGTAGACTGTGTTCAAAATGGCGTCTACACTAAATGGACAAGATACTGAGTCAATTCTTAGCTAAATTCTAAGCCTTGAAGAGCACTTTTCCATCTAAAGGAATTTTTTTTCCACTGGACTGGCACCCAGGGGTGGAAGATAAGAACCTAAAATATACGTAGCGTAAAGCATTTCAAGAATAGGCCATTTGGACGATGGTGTCGTTTTTGCTACTACGACTAGACTCCTTTTTGTTTTCCCCTTCTGTCTCTAAATTTGGTGATCCCAGCGAGGTTTAAATAAGTCAAATAAGAATAGCCCTAATTTGCAGAAGAAAGCGAAACCCTGAAGGATTCTGGTCGTGGTAGTAAAATGACGTCATCGTTCAAAGAATACTCAAGTGTGCCCTCATTGTCACGTGATTTCATTCCGATCTCAAATAAATAAAGTAAAAATTATCATGAAATGGTTTTGTAGTCTTTTCGCAATTCGCACATCTCACATAACCCATAACTTACCTTGTCTTATCCCCCATCCCCCCCCCTCTAAAAAGAAGCGCGTAACACTTGTTTTCCATTTCTCCTGGGTACTACAACCGTCCCAAGAGAAATTGAAAACAATGCCTATGCAAAATTGGGGGCAGGCATCATGGGGCATTTTGGGAGATGTGCGAGTGGCGGATGTGTAATGTTTGTAAACTGTAATGGACAAGATCAGTTTAAACCCTTTTTGGATTTGGGCCCGCAAGTGTACAGTTCCGCAAAAGATCCCTAAAATGCACCTCAAATAATCCTCAACCGTAAAAGATTCGCAAATGATCCTGAGAGAAAATGAGAATGGCTTGGACCGCCCCGCTTGGACCTAGCCTGAGTATCAGGCGTTTCTGGGGTTTCCGCTTAGGAAGGCCGATACTCAGGCTAGCTTGGACCCAGATCATTCCACTTCGGTCAACTCGTCCCAGTGCTTTTCCTCGAAGGAGGGAGCGGGAAAATCACTGGTCAGCGGATAATTTCAAGAGGGCAAATTAAAATGGCGGCCGTCGAGGAAAAAAAACACAAACACAACATTTGGTGCGTACGCCATATAATGAGCAATTCTGTTGCTGATTATGGTTTTGAAATTTTGGGGAAGTAGCTTTACTTTTGAATTAGACTAACGATAGTCTTATGCCGCTGAATTTTAGCATGGTTTCCGATTTCTTTTACCCAAACATGGGCGGAGTGGAAAGTCACATCTATCAACTAGCGCAGTGCCTTATACAGAGAGGACATAAGGTGAATTCTAATATTGTTTAACCAGATTTTGCGACTGCTTAGCTAAACTACAAAGTACAGGGGTTCTCAGAATTCTTAATTTAAAGACGTTTTTTGCTTTGCTAGTGGCCAAATAAAACGAGCCTTGTAGGTTAGTTGCGCTGAATTCTTGAGAAGCGCGAAACTCAGCTCCTGGCTTTTTTCTTGTCCTGTTGATCAGATAGGTTACCTTTAATCCTTATTAATTATCCATCTATCCTAAGGGGTTGCTTTAAAGTGGCAGGGTATTACGCAGTTAAGTCCTTAATGTATCGGTCAAATCGAAGCTTCAACATGCCCCCCGGGCAAACCCCCGGGCATTTGACTTTTTTGAAAATTATTGTTCAAATTCCCCCCTACCCGGGCGAAAATCCCGTTCAAATGCCCCACACTGGGGTCCATTCAGGTGATCAAATGCCCCCTCCCCGGGGACATTTCACAGGCACAAAAATGACAGAAGGACGGCAGAAATGCCTTCAGTTGTCGAACAAAATCTTTATAGATATAACAAAAACCGAGAAACACTGTTAGCCTATTTACTACAAACAAAAGTCTCATGCAAAGCAGCGGAAATCGCTGCTACAAGGTATTAAACTGAATGCTCAGCTTTTTTTTGTGATGCAACATACAAAGCATTCTATAAAAAAGATCCCACCTATTGAGATTACTACATCATGACCATTTCACTGACATGCATCATCACTCACCTTATTAATTAACATACTTGCAGTAGGTCAAAGTAGTTGACCTGAGCTTTTTATTTTATTTTATGTTGTTGTATTGAATCGCCGGTATAGGTATTGTATTTCGTTGTAAACACAACAATAAAATACATTCATACATTCAAAGTCTGAATCCAATATTAAAAATTTCAAAATTTAAATACTTCAAATACGGCACAAAGCTTGTTTAAGCACTTTCCTCGTAACCAACTGGCAACAAAGGCACAATCTTTTCCATGAAAATCCTCTAACACCGCGTCCTCCATGATAGCTCGCCACGCCAAAGATTTTACATGAAATCGAGGGTGCAGTTCAAATCCCCCACCCCTAAAGCATGGGGATCAAATTCCCCACCCCCTGGAAGACTCTGATAATCAAATTCCCTCCTCCCCGGGACGGCAAAGGAGTCAAATGCCCGGGGTATGCCCGGGGGGGGCATGTTGAAGCTTCGATTTGACCGATACATAAATCAGATAAACTTTACTAGGACAGTAAAACACCCTGGCTAATGTTTTGGTTCCCAGATTGTTGTGGTCACACATTCTTATGACAAGAGAAGTGGAGTTCGTTATTTAACCAACTATCTCAAGGTACATTTATGAATAAGTATATTTAAAAAAAGATACAATCTTTCCTATGTGTAGTCTCCCTCGCAGCCATTTTTTGGAAGTCACGCAACGTTCCCCCAAAAGAACCGTTCTTCTGGGGAGCATTGTGTGACATCCAAAAATCAGCTGTGAGGGAGACTATCCTATGTGTGACTTTAATTAGGATCGTAAGGCGGGGATGACAACAGAGAGAGAAGGGTGTGGTGGAGGGGGGACAAACTACAAAACCCTATCTGGGGAAGAATGAATATTTTCTTGATCTGCAACCTCAATGGTAAAGACTTACTGAGATGCTGACACGCCTTGTTTAAAAATCTAAGATAGTGTTTAGGGGTTTCTTTTCAGGCCAGATGCTAGCCTACAAAGCAGACGTATTTTGGAGCGCGATCCATGATTTGTCTTTGGGAATGATGTTGTCCCGCCATCTTGGACATTAATACTACCAGAGAGTTGGGATGAGTCAAAAACTGATTTTAAGGGAGAGTTTGACGGTCCCCCCCTTCCTCCCTCAGTCTTTTCCTTTGCTTTTCATCACTCATAACTCCTGCAACTGCATTTACCAATATTGCCAAATTAAACAAAAGTCATTCTGGTGAGCATTCATAACAACTTGCATTTTAGAGCATCCAATTTTCAAAATTTCCAGTCGCCTCTAGAAGTTTGGCCTCCTGTACTCAAATTTTCACACATGTGGCACCAATGGTAAAAGCCAGCCAGCTGAATCCCTGCATCTCGTAATTCTACATTGTAAATGCTACCAAAACCCTGTGTATTTTATGCTTCAGTAGCATTTACAAGGTTAGAATTGTTTCTTTGAGACGTTCCAGTTTTCTACAGCGGCAACAACTCCCTGCCCTTTTCATTTAGGAAGGTATATTCACTGGCCAGGCCTGTGCTACTTGTGGAATATGGAGTGAAAATTAAGCCCAGTCTGCACTCCCTCTGGGGGCCTGTTTACAGACTGAGTATTCATAACAACTTTATTTGTTGTATTTAAGGTTTATTATCTTCCCTTTGGTACCTTTCATAACCAATGTGCATTACCGACTCTTTATACAACACTGCCATTAATGAGATGTATATTTCTTCGCGAAAAGATTACAATAGTACATGGACACTCAGTAAGTCTTCAAATGATCATTATTATTTTTTTGTTGATGTTGTTTTGTTAATAATGAGAGCCCCTTGTGACATACATTGTATCATTGATAAACTGCAAGATTCTCCATTGCTTTGTCTGCATTTGTAAATCAAAGGGAGAATTTCACCTTTGATTTGATCAAGAATCACTAAGGGCCTTATTCATCTGTTACTTAGTATATGTATCCTAATAGGGATAAACATGAGCATTGCTCATTTTTTGTGGGAAAAGAACAGAACCTGTACATAATTAATGAAACTGATCCGGTATATGTCATCATTTATTATTGACTGATCAGATAGTTCAAAAACAAAATTAATATAAATAACCTACAATTGTAGTATAGAAAAATTATTCCTCTTATAGCCTGTAACCATGGTTAGGTTGCAATCCGTTTCCTCTGTTTTGTTAGTTGTGAGGCTATTTAAAGCTATCATGATCATAAAGTGCAGGCCAGAACTAAGTGAATAAAAAATATAAGCACAATGCACAATGTATGCATTTGGAAATATGTGTACATGTGTCAGGCAGGATGCATAGATGAGTCTGAGCTGATGCACATGCGTGTCTCAGGTGTAATGTGTCAGTTACATGTAAAAGCCAAACATTGATGCATAATATAAAACTAATGTACTTGCTTTGCATCGGCATTGTTTGCTTGCCAGTAATAATTCTTTCCTGCACAGTAAAGAGCCTTTAAACAATAGAATTAACTCATTAAAGCATGTTGGTTTACTTTGATGAATTGGTTCATCAGTTCATCAAAGTAAACCAACAGTTAATTAATGATCATTAATTTTAAGTCTCGTACATTCAGTGTTAAAGCTTCTCTTTGACTGATGGCACTTTGGAATTTTGCCCTCAAAACCAGTCATTGACCAGTAGAACCTACATGAAAAGGTATACAGTAATATGGATTTTTGGGATGAAAGGATTTTACCCCTGTTTGCATTTTGGTTTTTTGGGTAAAAATCCTTTTTGCAAGTAACTTACATGTACATGTATCTGCCATTCATTGTTTTGACTTCTTTTCAAGGCTTTTTCTACTTTATGTCATGATGCACTTCTTCATGCTCGCACTATGGGACTCCATACTCTGTTCACAGACCATTCTCTCTTTGGCTTTGCTGATGCAAGTTCCATCATTACCAACAAATTTTTACAGTTTTCACTGGCAGACATTGATCATGTGATATGCGTCTCACATACAAGGTTTGTAATTCATGGAATTTCGCTGTGCATTTGAGAGGAAGAGGCTGTACCTCTGGCAGGGTGTACATGTACCCTTCAATTGGGTGTGGTTTTAGACTTTGCATTCTGACAGTAAAGTTTGCCAGGACTTGAAAAAAGTCCTGTCTGTCCTGTCTGGGTATCCAAGTAGATTTTCTTGTTGGCAATTAACTTTTAATCCTCATTTGCTCAAACAGCAGACCATCCAGGTTCAGGCAAGTTACATGTAACTTCTAGCTAAATCATAAACTGTGACAAGAGTAGAAAGTAAAATTTGTATGCTTGTTGTCCTAAGAACAAACTTAAATTCAAAGTTTCTTCAAGCTCAAATTTTACTCTTTTGAAATGCAATGAAAGGGTTATCACCTTCCATGACGAAAGCTGCTAGACACTAAAATCTAACAATCTATCACTAAATGCTCAGAATGGCAGTTTTCTCAATCTTTTTGTGGTGAATTATTTGCTTTACCAGCTTGCTAAAATACAATGTTTGGACACGGCAAATGGGTGTCGTGTAAATAAAATAATGTATTGTTTTTTCTGTAATTTGGTTGCCTTTGTTTAGTAAAGAGAACACAGTGCTTCGTGCTTCTATGAATCCTCGTATGGTGTCAGTAATTCCTAATGCTGTTGATGCTGATGTATTTACTCCTGATACTTCAAAGAAAACCAAAGGAAAAAGTGAGTTTTATTGATTGTTAATGCCTGCAACGCAAGCGTAATATCCAATTACTTAGGCATGATGCATTGTGTCCTATTAGTACATGTACACTGTCTGGACGCTGTCTGAAATCAAGAATTTTTTTAATAATACCACAGTTTAAATTACATGGATAATAATATGCATTTACATTTGCAATAATTTTGATTACTGCCTAACTGCATATTCAAAACTTCATCAAAAAGACACATCAACCAGCTTTATCTTATGTAACTGACAAGTTACTCTAGTTTCAAGACTTCAATAATTAAATACTTTATTGAGAGAGCTATAAATTAAAATCTCCCGACCATAATATGGCAGGGTACATTAAATCATAATTTAGTATGAGGAGCCCAATTTTTCAAGCTCTTTAGCTTCTATTGGGCTTCCTTGCCACTTGATCTATTACATAGTTAAGTCTGTTAATGTTACATTTAATTTTGAACTATGTTTGTAGCTTTTCCTGTCCTGTAAATTTGCATCTTAGGAATATTTTTATTTCCTTTTTCTTTCTGTAATATTTATTCTATGTGGCAAATGTAAAATAAATAAATAAAATGAATTATAGGGGTCAGTCAGCCAAATCTAATATACTTTTATTTGTAATAACATCTATTACAATTTAAACAAGTGTAAAATAACTACACATTTACAGTGCCATAGTCAAAGGTTAACATTAAAACTGCTTTAATTTGTTTTAGTTACCATTGTTGTTGTCAGTCGACTGGTTTACAGAAAGGGTATGGATCTGTTAGCAGGGATATTGCCTGTTATGTGTTCCAACCACTCAGATGTGCAGTTTATCATCGGTGAGTTTCCAAGAAGTCATTTTGGAGTGACAAACGGTGTCTAGATGGTGATGGATCAGTGTGATGAGCAGATTGTTGGGACAGGGCAAAAGATAATTATGTGAGCAGGAAAAACAGTGAAGGGGCAGGTCAAAGTTTCTTTCCTGCTCTTCCTCCTTATTATTATTATTTTTTGCCATTCCATCTGAATTTGCACCACACTCCACTATCTGAATGCCTGTAACAGGCTGCTAAGTGAGCAGATACTGCAGTTTTCCTCAAAAATTAACATTCCAAATTCAAGCAGGAATGGCAGACCAGTATGTAAAAGTACTACCTGAAAATCATTGTATATTTATTTATTTATTTCAATACCTCATCTGTGGTATTTGAGTTCTCATGGGACAACAGACATGATGTTCTGTTTGGTTCTATTGTTTCTTACCTGTTACATAAAAATTTACTGTATGATTTTCAGTAATTATAATTTCTTTGTTATTGTTTAGGTGGTGATGGCCCAAAACGCACTCTCCTTGAAGATGTTTGTGAGCAATGTAAACTTCAAGACAGAGTTGAGTTTTTAGGCAAGTTGGAACATGAAAAAGTTAGAGATGTGAGTGTACCTTACGGTAATCATGTTGAAATTTTACACTGCCATAATATTGATTGCAAAACATCACTCGCAAATAGGTAATAGTATTGTCACCATCTGCGAACAATTCCTATACTACAAATTAGATACGGGAGACCCAGTCCAAGGCATTGAGAAAGGGGAACTTCTAGCAGGGCTGCAAATATCAGTCTTTCATCGGACATTGGCCGACCAAAATTTGCTAGTGTCTAACGAAATCCCACCTGAGTGTTCGGATATTATGTGTGGAGAATTGAAAACATGTTGTCGCTCAAATAATTAATTCTGTAAATGACTTTGAGGCTGTTGTTTTTATCTTGTATATCCACAGACCTTGTAAGTATTGTCTTTATTTTTGGTTCTATCCTTTTGGCACCTTTAAATACCTTTCTCGTGTATTTGTTTATGTATCTGTTTAGTTTTCACTGAACGAACCATCATGTTGTGTCGTGATAGCGGGTTACATTATTGACAAACTACGTCGTGTATACTAATATCTATTGGTTGCAGTTTGCTACCATTCTGTTTTAACCCAATCGAAATGTCTGTGCTTTAATTGTCCTCTACCAGTCTAGATTATCTTTAACAGAAATTCTGACAGCAATATAATAATGTTTTTCTAGGTTCTTGTCCAAGGTGACATCTTTCTTAACACTTCACTCACAGAAGCGTTCTGTATTGCCATTGTTGAAGCAGCTAGTTGCGGGTCAGTAACAGTGTCTGTCAATTTTCAAGTACTGTACTCAGTGCCATTGTGCTTGATAAGTTTGTTGTTAAATAGTTGGAATGCCTGTTTACTCTCCTACAGCTGTACTTTCGATTTGATGTGGTGGCTGGGATGTCTGTTTACTCGCTCATCTTTCATTTGATAGGGCAAGTGGGATGCCTTTTTTCTAACTTTTCGTCTTTGTCCCTGGAATTTTATGCAGTCTTCAGGTTGTCAGCACCAGAGTGGGTGGGGTCCCTGAGGTTTTACCTAGCGACATGATCAAAATGGCGGAACCAAGTGTTAAATGTAAGTTAGGGCGATAGTTATAGAAGTATTATTTCAGCTGTTAAATCCCTATACATAAAATACGCTAGTGTACAATACTCTTAAATGTCAGATTCTGTTTAAGGACTTGCTACTCGGAGCGAATGGTTTCATGATTATAGCGTCCGCTTCCCGTATTTATGACATACCGAGCCATCATCACGCATTTCGCCTTTTTTTCGCGGATTGTTTAGACTCTCAACATTGGTAATTTTCTTAGTCAAACTGTCTCTTGTTTTTCTTCAAACAAGGTAATCTTCAGAAATCATTTCGGACAGACACATGAAAAGCCTTGTGCTCACCATTATTCTATCAAACGACAATGCGTTAAATCAAACTCTTTCCAAAGTTCAAATAATAATGCGTCTCTATAATAAAACGTCCATAGTATTTAGAATTACCTGTATCTTCTGGCGTGGAGATTGACCCTTCAACGCCTGTATCTAAATATTAGATATTTATTATTTATAGATCCCTGTTTTGTTTAGCCATGAATGGAAAAAGCGATCTCCCAGTCCTAAAAACTTATCATGCAATGCTACGCACATTGACGGGTGAGGATTTTTCACTTTTTATGTATTAAATATTTCAGCTCTTTTGGTGGCGTTGGAAAGCGCTGTTCAAGACGCGCGTGACAACAGAGTGGTTCCAGCCGATGAGGCGCATGAACGGATAAGAACCATGTATACGTGGCAGAACGTGGCCAGGCGTACGGAAGTAGTAAGTGACACATTGCACGCGTTGTAAACTTAAAAGTTTCAATTTTATTTCAGGAAAATTTACAAACCTTCTCTATCCGCAAACAACAGGGCTAATCTTGGCAGGTAGAGCAAAACAGATAGCTTACTCACTCATTCTCTTCATTCCGAGTGGCACATAAGGCCTCTACTAGTTTTTCCTGTCGAAGTTTCAGTAACATATTATGTGGTTTACCCCAGGCCTGAAAGACAAGGGTACTGTTTAGCGTGGTCCCTCTCTCACAGACCAATCCAACATGGTTGAACCTGCCACAAGCAAAAGCATCCCCTGGCAAACACGTAGCTCTAGGGGATGTAAGGGCACGCATTCCTCCAATCCACGTCAAGGCACTGCACCAGGGGAGGGTGGTGCTGTGGCTTGTGGTTTAGTGTGTTTATCTACTTGCAGACCAATCTGGGTTCATAATAATAAAATTATGAGAAATTTCAGCCCGGTTTCCGAGATGAGAAGAGGTCAAAGATCCTGGGGACGATTTCTTGCGCCAAGTTCGAGAAACAAAGCAAACATGGCGAAACACAAAAATTACAACTTTCCCGCCTATCAGTATGACAATGCATCCGACTCTCTTTTAACGGACAGGGTGCTTACCATTTACACAAACCACCCAGGTGGAAATCTTGCGCATAAACATAAAACTATAAAAGGGGACGTGGTAGAAGAACGACCCGATACAAAATACTTCCAAATCATCTGAACAGAGTAAATAGAGTAGGAAAAGCTGCATCGCCTCAAATCACAGCCCATATTTTCTGAAGCTTTCCAAAAGGAATGGCGCGAACCATTTGATTTTCCAACTAGAATTTCCGGTTTTTCCATGTAAATAGTAAGTACCCCTAGAGTCAGTGCCTGTTTTTGTTTACTTCATTTTTTTCACTCACTATAAGAGGGACATTACTCTTAGAAAGACACTTAGTGCCAGTCACAGCAGAGGTGTCCGCCTTAGTACGACCGAGAAAATTGACTGTACTCTGCCTGATTGACGTGTAATCACCCAACTTCTCACTCACTTTCACTAAAACACGCCATCCTCTCCCTTTCCTTTTTTAGCTAGAGCCCCGTGCAAACGACGAACGCAACATTGTTGGCCAACAGCTCCCAGTATTATTGGATGTTACATGTTGCGTGGGTTTGCAAACCCTGTTGCAGGTTGTTGCTTGTTGAGAGTTGTTGCGCAAAGTTTGAAACCGGTCAAGCTTTTGAGCCACCAACTCCCAAAATTTTTTTTCCGTGATCTTCGAAGAGTAGCGCAACAATCAAGGTCCCAACGTTGTTGGGAGTTGCTGCATCCGTTTGCACGTAGCTTAATTGTGTTAACTGTAATTAACGATCACGAACAGGTTTTGTTTGTTCTTTTATTTTCAGGTTTACGATGTAGTTAGCAATGTTCCTCCTGTTTCATTTGATCTGAGATTGAAAAGGTAACAATTCTTTGCCTCCACAAACATTTATATCCCTTAACCCCTTCTCAAAACAGACCTTCTTCACAACACCCGCCTTCCTTGCATGCACTTCGGGACTGATGAGATAAAAGCTATGTCACGTGATTTCTCGGGGGGGAAAGAGTTAAAATCTGCTGATAAAAGAAGTCGCGGTCGAGCATTTTCAATTTTGACAGCAGAAATGAAGAAATTTTTATCTTAAAGATGACAATTATAGCAAATTATGGGTCGAAGTGATCACTGTTACTCCTTTGGATGCAGTAGCAACCGCATATCTCCTCAAAGCAGACAATAATGACGTAGAACTTGTCGAAACTCGAACTGTACATTTTGCAAGACTAAAATCGTCGTCTCGTTTTGACAGACTAAACAAACCGCGATTACTCGTATTACAAAACTTTATAACTTGTTTGTCCCCTGAAGTTTACCACGTGACATTGCTTTTATCCCATCACTTATACTACAGCGCTACAAAGATGGCGGGTATCGTCGCGGTGAATAAGGTCTATTACCTTGTTTGCATTTTACCTTGATTTATCATTGGTTGATAATCAACGAATCAGAGACGAACGTTTCTTTTCAACCAATCAGTTGCTTAACAGTTGCTTGATCCCAATTGTCTCTTCCTTTGCTTGAGCTGCCCATTTTTTATACTTGAATAAGAGACAATTCTTTCTGTTTATTGAGTTTTAAATTGTCTGAATTACTTTTTACAACGCAGTTATCCTCGGCGTTTTTTTGTTGCAACCTATCTGTTACACAAAAAATTGCCTAGTATAATACCCTGTAGAATAAACATGTCAGTGTTGCGATAAGTGTTGGAAACGAGTGTTGCATAAAGGAGAATCAAGTTCTACTTCGTGCAACGAGTTTGGCAATGCTGCAACTCTGCAACATTGCAAGGAACATTTTAAGGGAAGTTGTCTTCTGCAACTTGTCTCACAGCGGCACGAGAAAAATGTGCCTAAACAGGCTCTATCACATTAACCGCTTTTCGCTTTCCTGGGCTTTTTGTACTTGTAACTTGTTTTCTGCTCTTTTCTGTTTGGTTGTATACTACAACCAGTTCCAAAAGTACTTGAGACACTGTACCGTATTTTGGCTTAAATGGCCTTGTCCATGATCTTGTGTTTGTAATCCCCCCTCCACTCCTTATCAAAGTTGCGAGCAATACAAGACCATGCTCAAAACTTGGAGGAACAACTTTGAATGGAGGGCAGGAGGGAGGTCAGCATTACGGTATCTCACAGACCTGTGACTAGCACCGATTTGAAGCGAGAAAGGTCTTTTTTTCGTCAGACTGTCTCGATATTTTGCAACTGGTTGAAGCTTCTTGTTGAGAAAAGTATAATAAAATCTTGACGCCACGGGCGTAGAACAAGGATCCCCAACGAAAAGAAACGCCCGAACACCATGCGGGTACCATATTTACTAAGCAGCTGAGACCCGCTTGGCGTCCTGTAAACTGCGACGATAAACAATGTGGATAGTTTATTCTGTGTCGATAAATAATAAAACCCTTGAGAAACATTAAGTTTGATATTGAATGAGAAATATAAAATAAAAGTCATGTCGTGAGGGTGGGACAAGAAGGTTTACAAGTAAGACTCTACCATTAAATTTTTATTTGAACTTTCAGATTATATCATTGTGGCCGTGTTGCTGGGAAAATATTTTGTGTTTTAGCTGTTATTGACCTCTTTTTACTATGGTTTCTCGACTGGCTTTTTCCTAGAAAGGTGCGTCTACTTTTCCTTGCTCAAAGATAATCCGCCACTTATTTACAGGTATAATTAAACTAATGACTGAGTTTTGAAAGATTCCTTGCTTAAAAGATCTTTTCTTGCTGCTTCGCCCATCCAGGCCCCAGTTTTTCGAAAGGCACAAAACGTTGTCCAGTGGATAAATCTCGATCCAGTGTACAAATCAATTGGTTACCCTAATACTTATCCACTGGACAGTGATTTATCCGGTGGATAGTGTTACCCACCTTTTAAACAACTGGGGCCAGAACAACTAGTCATATGAAATCTGCGTCATGGGAAACGTACTTCTCAATGATGTGATACAGGAATCTCAGGCTCTTGAAACTAGACCTAGCTTGAGGACCAACTATTGCTGTCGGATTTTCGGAGTTAATTGTACGTTTCAATCTACAATTTTCTGTTAATAACTACTTAGTAACAAGACTTCTTATAGGTATGGATTTAGAGCTATTTAGCTTTTAGTTTACCTCCTCTTTGTATCCACCAAAGGTGCATGGTTTTTTTCTCAATTGGCTTCAAACGTTACATCAAGAGCCATTTTTCCAGCCTACGTGTGACGCGAGTAAAATACCTTGAAATTAGTGCCTAGCATAATGTTTCTCGCTTTTCCAATTTCATCTGTCGCTTCTGATTGATGCAGGTTTGATCCCACCTCTTCCTCCTCACCCGCTTCGTTCGCACTTTGTTCGCAAACAAAGGCCAGCGCGAAACGCGAGGGCTAGGTAACCTGGCCCAAAGGTCCACTGGAAGGAGAAAGAGACTTGATACCATTTACATGAACAAACCGGTCGGTTAAGGTGGCTCGACTGGATTTTTTGGGGTTGATACCTCCCAAGTTTGAGCATTAACTACGTCGGCATGAGTAAAGATATGGAAAAAAGGGTCCTTTTTGATGCAAATTCTATCTTTTTGCTAAATGTGCACGTGTATATGAAACTTAAAAACAATGCTAGTGAATAATGAGGACGCTCGCTTGTAAACACAAAATCTGGGGGGAAAATTGGCTATATTTGAGGCCCTATTTAAAAGTCTTCCCTGTTTTCAATGTTCTTAAAACTTGCAGGAAATATTTCTTGACGATTGATCTCGGGATTGTCGAATTTATAACAAAATTTATCGAGCAGTTTTTGGAAAAATGCAAAATTTTTAGGCATGGACCAAATTACCTCCAAAAACTGTATCAAAAGCATCTGAATGTAAGTTAATAAAATCCTTCTTACTCGCGATCGCCCAGAGCAATTCCCCTCTTTTTTTGTATGCAGTTTTCAATGGAATCAAACCACTATGGGATGAAGCCGCGTTCCCAAAGCTTATCATTTTCTTAAAATATTAGCGAATGTTGCGGTTAGCATGCTATTCCACTGTTATTATGATTCTTAAAACTGCATTTCAGAATATTTCGAAAACGCTCTCATGGAATTTCTTCAAAATTTGCCATAATGGAGGTAATTATGGCAGGTACATACTCCCTTAAGCGATTTCCTCAAAAAAACTCCTGGTACAGAGAAACACAACGATAAATGAAAAACGTAATGGCAACGTTACGTTGCCATGGCGACTCCGATTGCAATAAAAGCCAGATCGTAAGAAATTTTCATCATTATATAATACAGTTGTGGTAACCTTTTTTCCATATCTTCACTCATGCCGATGAGTTAATGCTCAAACTTGGGAGGTATCCCCCTCAAAAAATCCAGTCAAGCCACCTTAAGGTGACTCGACCCAGTTATTTTGTGAGGGCCCCATCCTACTTTGAAGCTCTCTGGTATCCCCACCTTTATCTTGATCGTAAGTCTAACATATAGCATGGATAACATATAGATCAATCTACAATATAGCATAAAATGTTTGGCGATCGGAGTGAATGTCACGTGAGTCGAAATTTTGCTGTTGCCGGCATTTTTTCGTGAAAATCTCTCGGCTACATATTGTGCGCATTAGTGCCTTTCGTTGAACAGAGTTTCACCAAAATTTCACCCAATGTGAGAAATTCAGCGGTTTGAAAATTTAGGTCATAATTATGTGAAAATGATAAGCAAACTTTACACGATTATATCTAATAAACTATGAGATTTGTCCCTACATTTTGGGGATCTTAGCAGATGGGTCCTTGCAAGCCAGAAAAAAGGCTTAAGGGCCTTGTAAATGCGCGCGATTTCGAGCAATGCAAACATACAGAAATTAAAGATTTAGCTCTTTGTTGACGTTTGTCAGCGTTTAAGAGTCCTTCTCACGAAAAAAGCATTTTGTTGAAAATTCGTAGTTTTTTTCCTTCAAATTTTTTCAGGGCCACTATTGATTAACTAACTACCCGGATTCTGAATTTCATGGTCATTGAAAAACTGTGACATTATCTTCTATAAGCCCAAACTTGAGTAAACATTGAAGATTTTTAGCGTTTTGGCTGAGTTTGTGCTTTGGGAGTTGTCTATTGTTTCTAGTCTGTTATTATACAGCATTCTTGTTCAGCACGCGTGCAATGACCGCGCTTGGCTGACTTCCGAATGCTCACCTGCTTCTTCCTGAAACAANAATGTTTGGCGATCGGAGTAAATGTCACGTGGTTATAGTGCCACGCCTCTTTGGGGTCTGAGTCGAAATTTTGCTGTTGCCGGCATTTTTTGGTGAAAATCTCTTGGCTACATATTGTGCGCATTAGTGCCTTTCGTTGAACAGAGTTTCACCAAAATTTCACCCAATGCGAGAAATTCAGCGGTTTGAAAATTTAGGTCATAATTTATGTGAAAATGATAAGCAAACTTTACACGATTATATTTAATAAACTATGAGATTTGTCCCTCCATTTTGGGGATCTTAACAGATGGGTCCTTGCAAGCCAGAAAAAAGGCTTAAGGGCCTTGTAAATGCGCGCGATTTCGAGCAATGCAAACATATAGAAATTATAGATTTAGCTATTTGTTGACGTTTGTCAGCGTTTAAGAGTCCTTCTCACGAAAAAAGCATTTTGTTGAAAATTCGTAGTTTTTTTCCTTCAAATTTTTTTCAGGGCCACAATTGATTAACTAACTACCCGGATTCTGAATTTCATGGTCATTGAAAAACTGTGACATTATCTTCTATAAGCCCAAACTTGAGTAAACATTGAAGATTTTTAGCGTTTTGACTGAGTTTGTGCTTTGGGAGTTGTCTATTGTTTCTAGTCTGTCATTATACAGCATTCTTGTTCAGCACGCGTGTAATGACCGCGCTTGGCTGACTTCCGAATGCTCACCTGCTTCTTCCTGAAATATTTTTATATGACGCTGGGTTCAGTTTGAACGAACTTTTTTTTAATGCCTTATTACGCTTGCCTTTTCAGAATATTGACATTGCTCGTTCTTACCACGATCACCACCACGGATGGAAATCGGAAGACGATAGAACACCGAGCGGTTCCGCAAGAGACACGTCTTCCTCATTTAGAGAACAACGGCTAAATAATTACTGTTTGGGAAGATAATCTTGGCGCGGTTATGTAAAATAGTAGATATAAAAGGTCATGTTTGAACTGTTATGAAGACATAGCTCTTATGTCAGTAGTCTGATAGCGTATGTTCTTCTGTACCTGAATGTGTTTATGTAGGTAAGAACGACATACGAAAGAAAGATTTAAAAGGTTCGATTTGTAACGAATGGTCTCAGCTCGAAGCCGATACCACAGGCAGACCACCCTTTGGCAGTTGTTGTTATTGACTCGTTTGTACTCAGTAGAAGAAATGCAAATGAAGCAGCCTCCTCCTCAGGCGCTTCGTTTGTTGCACAGAGGACGCGAGCGCGAAACGCGAGTGACTGGTGACGAAGCGCAAGGTTACGAGGGAGTAAATGAACATCACATCGGCTACTCTTTACTCCAAAATACAGATTTGATCTTGAATGTTTCAATAAAAGTTCAAGAGAAATGTTAAGATTGTCATTGGTCATATTTTTGCGCCTTCCCGGGCTGTTTAAAGTGTTACCGTAAAATTCCGAAAATGAGGCCCGGGGCTTATATTTTTCAAAGGCCCTTTTTGAGGGGCTTATTTTTGGAGGGGCTTATCTACGGAGGGAAATTAGCGTCTCAAAATCGATTGGGCTAGCCCTATAGTTGGAAGTAAATTTACCGTTTTGCTTTGTTTTACTTTGTATTTGAGGGCAATTTTCCAATTACAAGCCCCCGGGGGGCTTATATTTGGAGGGGCGATTTAACGGAGGGTTTTTTACGTTACCGGTTTGGGGGGCTGATATTTGGAGGGGCTTATACATGGAGGGGCTTATTTTCGGAATTTTACGGTATTTTGCAAAATGAATTATTTTCCCCAGGTGTTAAGAATAATTGTAATGTGTTCATCTGCGTTTCTGCTATGGAGTGTATAAGATCGATCCTCAGATTTCAGTGACAACTGCCACACGGACAAAGGTTGCCTAGTCCCTAGACCTCATTATTCCGCGCGGCCAATGTGTTTCGGGTCACATAGTCCAAGCGGAGATGTATGTTCCGCTCGCCTGGATACGTCACCAAAGTGAATTGACCGAGAGGGCCTGGGAAAACACCGTACAGGGACGAGGCGACGAGGTAGGAAGAGAGGGTGGTGGCCATGTGTTCCCACAAGACAAATTCGACCACTGACAGGCTTTTGGCCATGTATAACGTGTAACTAGGCAGGTTCTCGTGACAGCTTTAATTGGTTATTTAACGTGTAGCTTATCCTGAGCTGACATAACTGTCTCTGCACTCTTGAGCTTTGTTCTTTTCTCTTTACTTGTGACGTTTTTTGTTCCTAACTGTATAAGTTACTAAATGCTCACACGTTATCCGTCTCTGCTAGACAGGAATTGGCTTCAATAACAAAGATTCAAACTGATAGAGTATAGCGAGAACAATCGTCTCTGTTTTTGTGATAACGTGGTTTGTGGAAACTTCAAACAAACTTTCGTAATGTGCTTATGTTCCCAGAAACAACAAAGTTCCGTTCGTAATCCCAACTTTTACCAGCAAAATTGGCCATATACTCTTCAAACGCGATGAAATGAGTTAAAGTAAGGCTGAAATCTGAAATCGGTAACCGATAACCAACTCCATTCAATGAAAGAAAACATCGCTGTGTAAAATCTGGTGACATGGCGCAGTAGACAAGGAGCTGACTTTTTCATGTAGGTGGTCCGTTAACCATATTTTTTTAACCTTACCCTCTTTGCTGGTTTCAATTTATTCATACTGCTGCCCCTTTACAGACCCCCCCCCCCGGCCCCTTTTACAACTTCGCGAGGTGTTGCGATAAACGTATTTCTAGTAAGTCCAGTTTTTGTAGAAACGAAATTGACCCAAGTTCAAAGGACTGAGGTTACCATTCGTAAACTGTATACAGCCGCCTACGCAGACTAAGTAGTGCTCGCGTACCCCCTCCCCCGCTTCCATTCCCAGCCATATATCAAACAAACCGCTTCCGGCTAAGCTCTCAAAAGAGACTCCCTGGGGACGAGGTCAACAGATCAGTGCAAAGGGTCGTGCAAAATACAGATTTTGCCTCCACTGCTCAACCGGGCACACAAAATGATAATAAATGGGCGCGTTGGCCAGCTAAGCCATCGTCCCGTTTATTAAGCTTCAATATGCTTACAAATGTCCTTTACCGTTAAGTAAAATTAAATGCCCCAAAGCCGGACACGAAAACCCCAAAAAAGCCCGCGGGTGGAAAAAGGGGGGAACGTGCACCCCCAACCAAGGCTGCAGTGGTGCCACCCTCGGGGTTTAAGAGTATACTATGTCAGGAGCCGATTACTTCGGCTCCTGACTTTGTAAAACGTAGCATGCACAAATAAGCAAAAGTTACGAAAGGAAATGACCTCCCTCAAAAGCAAAACCTAGTGTCTAGATAACAATATTTGGAAAATGANTGCACCCCCAACCAAGGCTGCAGTGGTGCCACCCTCGGGGTTTAAGAGTATACTATGTCAGGAGCCGATTACTTCGGCTCCTGACTTTGTAAAACGTAGCATGCACAAATAAGCAAAAGTTACGAAAGGAAATGACCTCCCTCAAAAGCAAAACCTAGTGTCTAGATAACAATATTTGGAAAATGAATGGGAGGTGGGGCAAGTGAATGGGAGGTGGGGCAAAAGTAAAAAAAAAATTACCCCAGGAAATTATTTATAAAAAAAAAATATTCCTACGTATAAAAAATAAAAAAAAGATAAAAAATTATCCCTAACGAGGATCTGTACAGGTAAGACTATCACTATGAAGCGAATGACAAGTCCAGATTGGAAATAAAACGTGATTTTTTTAATCTCAACATGACTCATGAGTAAATCAGTTGTTAAGGACTACCTTGATTGATAAAGTTGTAGGCCAGACACTGAAATTGAAAAGTTTAACGTTTTACATGTATTATTCACAGATCATTAATGACCAAACAACTAGGAACTTTTTGGAATAAAAGTTATCTTGTGTGTTGATACATATTCGCAAACCTCTTTGCTTTCCACAACAACAGTTAGTATTACACTGACTTTCTTTAAAGACATAAATTAAATTGAACAACCCAGACCCTCTTCCTCTACAAAAATCCTGCGTATGCGGGCCCCAGTCAAGTGATATGTTCCAGATCAAATTTTCTGGACTAGTTTAATCTTTCTCGGGGGTAGAAGCGGAATCATTTTTCGTTTTTGCCTCAATGATTCATGACTGCTACGAGAATGTTCTTCTAGATTCATGATTCACGAAGAATTTTGATCACCCGATTGACTTAATGATTTTCTCAGTGGCAACATAGTCTCGTTTTGTATAGTTTCTTTCTTTGGTGTTCAAACTTAATTCTGTTTTCATCCAGATTCGGTATCATTTCATATCGGTATCGTATTACTCAGTATCGTTTTGACCAGTTATAGAGTTTTTTTTGTAACTCAGGGACATTAAGCACAAGAGTTACTGGAGAAACAAGCGGACTGTCCGCCCCGAATGCACGAATTATGTAGGGGGGGGGAGGGTCCGTGGGCATGCTCCCCCGGAAAACATTTTTGAATATTAGACTCTCGGAAACGCCATATCCTGCACTCCCTGGATCGAATGCAATTAATTCATACGTGTATAACTATTTTGTTGAGCTTTTCTCAGAGTCTCGTTCTTCGTGATTTCCGAACCGAAGTACAAAGACGTCTATTTATGAATTTAATTGGCGCATTAAATTCTTGTCATCGTTCAGTATAAATGTGACATATGAAACATGTGAAAGTTTCACCTACTGAAAAAAAAAATTCCAGCCATGGGATTAAAAAAAAAAAAAGATTTCCATCTTACATGTACAAAAAAGAAACTTGCATTTCTTAAAATCCCCTCCCCACCCCCATCACTTTTCTAATGGTCCTTCCCTCAGGGGGTTCGTCACGCGTTTTAGCGGTGCAGGAACGCGTGACGAACCCCCAAGAACGTCTGCGTGGGAGGCTGTGAAGGAGCTGTTAAGAAGGAGCTAAGGGAGAGTTTATTTGAGAAATCCAACAGGTACAAGAGGAAGCTTTCCTCTTCCGATCAGTGGTTTTGTCTCTGTAAAGGTACGATTTGTTTGATATAAATTAATTAATGGTTGTGTACCTTTTACACTTTCAAGCGCACTTTACGTGTGAAATATGTGCAATTTGTTCAGGCGGAAGTTCAGTATATTTTTATGACCAAAAGTTAGTATAACGAGTATTATACCGCTACAAACATAGACAAATCTCATCATTAGTTAATTTAACTAGTGTGTGGTTTGTTTTTGAGAGTTTAGAGCATACTGTACAACAACCGTGCGCTGGTCTGACTTAATGGTTGTGTACCTTTTACACTTTCAAGCGCACTTTGCGTGTGAAATATGTGCAATTTGTTCAGGCGGAAGTTTAGCATATTTTTATGACCAAAAGTTAGTATGACGAGTATTATACCGCTGCAAATATAGACATATCTGATCATAAGTTAATTTAACTAGTGTGTGGTTTGTTTTTGAGAGTTTAGAGCATACTGTACAACAACCGTGCGCTGGTCTGACTTAAGCACGCGAATGTATCGATGAACATTCACTCCCGGGCAAATATCCATTCGTGTATTCCAGGATATTTTGGAAAATTTGTGTTCAAATTACCCCATTTCTGATCCAGAAAGCTGTTCAAATGCCCTATCATAGGTCCATATTCGATGATCAAATTCCTCCACTCCGGGATAACTAAGAGGTAAATTTCACTCAGACGTGTACCCCTTACAAACTTATGCACTTAGTCAGTGGAAAGCCCTACACCCCCATACATGGGGAATAGTGGGGCATTAGACCGGGCCTGCCCTCTAAATGGTGCAAATTCCCCACTACGCGAGGCAATTCCGTCAACAAATGTACAATGTTGACCAAAATTAATATACTTCAATTTTTTTTTGTGTGGCAGAATTGGACTTTTAACAGTTGTAAAATCAACAATGCGGTCCTTCTCACACACAGCAGAACAATAATCTTTGTACCTTGAATTTCATAACTAGCATTCCAAACTTTATAACCTCTCCAAGTGATTATGGTTGCATGAGACCTCCAGCTTATACACCTACCCAGAACAATATTCCAGTTATTTCCCGTCAGAAGCAATGTTTATATGCTTCTGTTCCTGTACCCTTGGGCCTATGCCTATTCATGATAGTGTCAAGGGCAAATCCCAATCTAAGCCCCACTATTGGTCCCCCCTAGCTCATACCTGTGTCTTATTAATTGTCGAAAACCCTGCATACTGTGGCAAAAGTGAGACTAAAACCGCTGAAATCTCCTTCTAATGTCTTGCTTTCCCTATCCCTGTTGATACTCAGATAAGACAATAAATCCCATGCAAAATAATGTGTGATCACACGTCTGTTCACACACTTTTGAAAGTGTGATAGAAGTATGATTTCTGGAATCACACTTTTACTCGGCACACGTCACTTGTGTGATTTCTTAGAATTCATGCTTGAGAAGAAAAGAGTGTGATACAGAAGTGTGATTTAATAGGCAGTGGTGAAAAGAAATCACACTTTCAGGGAAATCTCACTGGAATTGTCTCCAAGGAACTAATGATAACAATATAAATGAAAAATTAAATTGGTGCTATGCACTTTAGGATAGGTGCAATTTAATGCTTAACTGCTCATTTTCATTTTTAGGATGAATCCTTCTATTTTAAGAATTGCATGTGCAACAGTCAAACAAAAGATTTGTCCAAAGCTAATCGAAATATATTTAAGTGGATTCAGTAATTGTACAGATGCAATATTACAAGATTAATAATGGTTGCATGTCTGTGCACATGTTTTTAGTATTAAAGTTGAAAAAACAGTAGCACAAACATCAGGCTTCAAACACGGTACTTTAATATTATGTAAATTGTGGTTTTTCCTAAATGATGCACTTCTTAGGAACTGAGCACATTACAAAAGAAATCATGTACACCTAATTAATTACTGCAAGAACATCATCATACAAATAGGAATTAATGAGCCAATAATTAAAAATCTTCACAGAGGATTACAGGAAAAAGATCTTTAAAAAATAAATAAAGAAATTAATAAATGATTACTTATTCCTTTGATAAAACGGTTAATTTCAATGTTAAATAAAATATATTTGATAAAATATATGATTTCAAGGATGACATCTTCTATTTAAAGAATACCTGCTATCTAAACTAAACATCCCTTTACTGGTTTTGAAACTGCCAAAGAACATGCCAATACATGTATTATAAACATGGAGGCAGCAACTTACTTAAGTTTTTAACTTGGAAATAGTTTTAAGTGAATAATAAAACAATTATTGGATTTGTCTTTAGTAAGAATAATTATGCAGCTAACAAGGGGGCTCTCGATCTGCATAATTCTTCTTGAAACAGTGACTCCAAACTGTATGCAAATAGAAGATGTGAAACAAAATAAACTTTCACTCTTCGAGAACCAAAGGTGCTAAGAAGAAATGTGTCAGGCAAGAACCTTTTTTCCATCATATTTAATTTATCAGAGTGAGGTTGTGTAGAAATTAATTTCAAGAAAAGAAGAAGGTTTTTGACCACAAGAATAACAACTTAAAGAATCAACTAATAACTTAACCCTCGGACGTACAAGCAAATTCATACCCCCACTGTGTACAAGGGGAGGGTGGGGAAGGTTGATGGAACCCCTTCCTGGAGTTTTTGATATGTTGCAGTATTTTGAAACAATTTTACCTTTAGTGGAAAGCCTTTTGTGAAACGATAACAGTTACCTGTAATGAATTGTAAATGTAATGTATCGGAATTGTTTGTGTGTGCGAAATAAAAAAAAAAAGAAAAAAAAAACCTTGGTTCGTTGGTGTTCGCATAAATCGAAACCGCGTGGTGTGAAATGGCGGCCGGACGTTAGCCTGCGTAGCAAGCGTTTCCGTGCGGTTTAGGAGCAAAGAACGAGGAACGAGAGTCAAAGATGGCTAGAAAAATGGCGTCCGTAAAAGAGGAAGGGGGTGGGGAAGAAAGGAAGGAAGGAAACGCTTGCAGACAAACCCCGGGATTTTGAAAACCGCCCACTTGGCCTGTCATGCCTGAGTTCGCGCCCCGACATTTGATGCTGTCATCAGCTGTCATAATTGACTAATAAAATGTTTGGCTTTCAGGGGAGCGGAAATGAAGCTCAGAGGACGCGTATGTGAACCCAAAATATATTTTTTTGTATTTTATAACACGTGGACGACGTTTTTATATGCTGAAATATCAATGAATCCGAACGATCAATACAGGCTTTAGACATTTGCTTTTTAATCCGTCTAACAATCACCATCTGAGAGAATTTAACATCCCTAAAAAAAACACTACCGAGCTTGGCCCAGCATGACACATCGAAGGAAACCATCGCATTCGCCGACAAAAGAAAATCGCTTGTAGTTATTGAGATCCAGGTGGCACTTTGGAGAATACATTAAACGACCTAAAACTCTTATTTAGTGGCAAGAAGCGCCTTACGTTTCAAAAGAGGTCAAAGAAAATGCTCTTGCATTGAAGGACAAATCTTGCCGACCAGAATAAACAACAACCACTGAAACTTAATATACGCGTCACGTACCATACCCTCCTCTTAGTGTGAAACAAACCTTTGATCAACACATATCAACATTGTTCAACTAGCCGAGCCAATCAGGCGCTGCGTTCGCTGGCGAACGCAGGTTTTCAAAATCGAGGGGTTTGTCTGCAAGCGTTTCCTTCCTTCCTCTCCCCCTCCCCCCACTTCATTTTTTGGGTCTTGTTTCACTTCTCGCTCGGCCAGGACCGAGAATCCCGTTCCTCGGTCTTTCTTTGCTCCGAAACCAAACGGAAACGCTTGCTACGCAGGCTAGCCGGGCGTCTGTTAAACCCGCCGGATCATCTGCAGCTTTCAAGTGGAAATGTATCTCAAAATTGAAAAAGATTTAAACAAAAGTGGAGTAACTATGAGCTAGCTATCGCAATAGCCAGAAAGGAAGACCCCATTCGAGTAGCAACTTTCTCACCGTGATCGGCGACGAAGCGCTTAATGTTTACAATGCATTCACGTGGGACAGTGACGAAGACAAAGTCAAAATGGATAAAGTTCTAGAGCATTTTGAGGAGTATTGTGAGCGTCGCAAGAATACAATTTATGATAGGTATTTATTCTTTTCGCGTGGACAGGAAAGTGGGGAGCCCATTGATAAATATGCCACAGTTCTACGAAACATGGCAGACTCTTTTGAATTTCAAGATTTGAAAGATTCATTGATACGTGACTGCATCGTGTTTGGAATCGCTGATAACAACGTGAGAGAGCGTTTGCTGCGAGTCCCAGATTTGACGCTGAATAAAGCTCTAGAAATTGCACGAGCTGCCGAAGCAACCCAAAGCTAGTTGAAACGAATGCAAAACTTGCACGAGGTTAATGCAGTGGGGAAGAAGAAAGAAAAATTCTTCCCAAAGAAGCCAGAAGAGAAGAAGAAATCAGCAAACGGAAGTACTCAGCAGATCGACTGCAAGTTTTGTGGCAGGAAACATGTACCAGACAGACAGATCAAAGTGCCCTGCATATGGCCAACAGTGCAACAAGTGTGGAAAAAGCAACCATTTTGTTGCGAAGTGTTCAGGAGGAAGGCAGTCCAGTCGTAATTTACGTGCCAATCAGAATTTGAATTATGTGCAAGAAGATTCAGATGGGAGTCAATTTGAAGACTATGCTATTGATGTAATAACTTATCAAGTCAGTGCTGTTGAAGAAAAGAAATACCCAAAACAGTTGTTTACATCAGTCAAAGTAAACAATGCTAAAGATGTTACATTTCAGTTGGACTGTGGAGCAACTTGTAATTTGCTCTCATTAAAAGAATTCTCAAGCATTATGTGGGATCCCAAAGATCTCTATTCGAAGAAAACATCTGCAATACTCAAGATGTACAATGGAACCACTATGACTCCTCTTAGAAAGTGCACCCTCAAATGTGCCAAAGGTGAGATGAGTATAGATGCAGATTTTTTTATACCTGATGAGGATGTCAGGCCTCTATTGGGTGCTGAGACATGTCAGGAACTGAACTTAATCAAGGTTATGGCAAGTGACATTTCAGAGTCAGAAACTGTGAACGCAGTAAATGACAAGGTTCAAACTGCCCACATTGCTCTAACCAGAGGTCAAATTTTGAAAGAGTACAGTGATGTTTTTGAGGGATTAGGCTGCATGGATGGCCCATACCGTATGGAACTTGATGAAACTGTAAAACCTGTTGTCTACCCCCCCCCCTACCCCTAGAAAAGTACCTGTAGCACTGAGAGACCGTTTAAAGGAATAACTGGACAGGTTAGTCAGAGAGAAAGTTATCACCCCCGTTACAGAACCTACAAATTGGGTGTCTAGTTTGGTTCTAGTCAACAAGCCAGAGAAGTTAAGAATTTGTATTGACCCACAAGATTTAAACAGAGCCCTGCTGAGAGCCCATTATCCTCTCCCCACCACTGAAGACGTGGCCACTAGGCTATGCAAGGCTAAAGTCTTCTCAGTTTTGGATGCAAAGAATGGATTCTGGCAAGTTCAGCTAGACAAACCGTCGTCACTCTTGACCACGTTCAATACACCTTTTGGCCGTTATCTATGGCTTCGCTTACCGTTTGGAATCAAAACAGCCCCAGAAGAGTACCAGCGAAGAATCCATGAAAGCCTGCAAGGTCTTAAAGGTATAGAAGACATTGTAGATGACATACTCTGTGTTGGCGAGGGTGACACCTATGAAAGTGCGGTGAGGGATCATGACAGAAACCTAATTGCACTCCTGGAGAGATGTTGTGAGAAGAATATCAAGTTGAATCGAAAGAAGTTACAGTTGAGAAAGCAAGAAGTGCCCCAATTCGGTCATGTACTGACCCCTGATGGCCTCAAGCCGGATCCAAGTAAAGTCAAGGCAATTGTAGCAATACCTACCCCTTCAGACAAGAAGGCACTGCAAAGGCTGCTTGGAATGATTACGTATCTTGCGAAGTTTCTGCCTAACCTGTCTGATGTGACGGAACCGTTGAGACGTCTATTAGACAAAGATGTGCAATGGCACTGGAACGATACACACGAGAAATCATGGAAGCAAGTGAAACAGTTGATCACAAGGGAACCAGTGTTGAATTATTTCGACCCCAGTAAAGAAGTAACTCTGCAGTTCGATGCATCGGAATATGGACTTGCTGCTGTCATACTGCAAGAGGGTCAGCCTATAGCATTCTCGTCAAGAGCACTTACGAGTACTGAAAGAAATCATGCTCAAATAGAGAAAGAGCTGCTCAGCATAGTTCACGGGTGCACACGCGTTGACCAGTATGTTTATGGTAGACCAATTACAGTACAGACAGATCACAAGCTGCTAGAGAGCATTTTCAAGAAACCTCTCTGCTTTCAGGCCCCAAAAGGCTCCAAAGAATGTTATTACAGCTCCCGAGGTATAACTTGAATATAGTGTACAAGCCTGGGAAGGAACTATTCATTGCCCATACACTCAGTCGAGCATTCCTTCCCAATAAGCCGAGTACAGAAGAGTTGAAGTTGGAGGTTTTATCAGTCAAACAGGAAGAGTATCTAATCCAATCCATTAAAGAGATCAGCATGGTCGAGTTTCTGCCAATCACGAGTGAACGCCTTGTTGATCTTAGAAGAAAAACTGAACTTGACGAAGGTCTTCAGCAGTTGAAACATATTATCAAGATTGGTTGGCCAGAAACAAAAGAAGAAGTCCCATCAGAAATCAGGGGATATTTTGACTTAAAAGAAGAGCTCAGCATCCAAGATAGTATCCTCTTCAAAGGAAATCGAGTGATTGTACCTGTAGCGCTAAGGCCCTACATGATAACGCAAGTACACTCAAGCCACCTTGGTATTGAAAGCTGTTTAAATGAAGCAAGAGATGTCCTGTTTTGGCCTGGCATGACCGCCGAGATCAAGGACTGTGTTTCTAAATGTGAAACATGTAACACTTATCAGACAAACCAGCAGAAAGAAGCACTCATACCTCATGATCCACCTAAATGCCCTTGGTCTCGTGTTGCACCAGACCTTTTCAGTTTTGACAACAAAGAGTGGTTCATCATCGTTGACCACTGGCCAGATTACTTTGAACTGAACCAATTATCCAGTACCAACTCAAGTTCTCTGATCAAGTCTCTCAAGAATCAGTTCGCACGCCATGGCATACCTGATACTCTGTATTCTGACAACGGACCACAGTCTGCTTCCAGAGAATTCAAAGAATTTGCATCCGCCTGGCATTTTGACCACCAATGTCCTCACCACACTATCCACAATGAAATGGCAAGATTAAAAAATGCTGTAAAGACAGCCAAGAAGTTACTAACCAAAGCAAAGGCAAGTGGACAAGATCCATACTTGGCCATTTTGGACTGGCGCAACACACCTTCACCCAGTATTGGATCATTGAAGATTGTTTGGACGATGCACAAAGACACTGTCACCTACAGCAGGAACTTTGTTACAGCCAAAGATCATGGAGGGAACTGCAGACAAGCTCAAAGAAAGAAAGACGAAACAAGCACTGTTTCACAACAAAGGAACAAAAGAGCTTCCTGAGCTTCAACCCGGAGACACAGTGCGCATGGAACCGCTGCTCTCAGATAAAGAAAAGCTGTGGAGAAAGGGATCGGTTGTCAAACAAGTAGCACCTCGCTCCTACGAGATAGATCTCCAAGGAACTATATTCAGGAGAAATAGAAGACACTTGGTAAAGACCAAGGAACCATCGCCACAGTTGCATTTGGAATCCCAAGAAAACCTTCCGGCTAGTAGTACCCCTTTGCCTGTGGAAGGACCGCCTGTGATGTAAACAAGATCTGGTAGAGTCATTCATAGACCTGGACGACAACGAGATTTTGTTTAAGAAACGTTGTTTAGGACTTTGAACCGTCTGACTGATTGTTTGATTGCTTTATTGTAAATAACTTTCTTTTCATGAGAAGGGAGATGTGATGTTATGAAGTAGTGGTCAATACCGCTGACATAATATCGCGTACTCGTAAAACGTTTTCGGGGACGTTCTTGTAAGTTGATTGAAGTTGATTTGAGTTTTCCCTGATTAAAGACCGTTTGGTTGAGTTTGCTCGTTTTGAAGCTAAGGACTAACACAGTTTTATCCTCTAGGAAAAAACTCAGAAAAACCTTATGAAGGGAGGGGGGGTGGCATCCACCCCCCCTTGTATGTCCGAGGGTTAAAAGAAGGAAGCATCTTACTCAGAGAAAAAAACTTTGGTGGAGAAAAATGAAAAGCATGAAAGGAGACATGAACATATTCTTATTTGTTTTCCCTAATTCAAGTGGCTAAACTCCAGCCCCGCTGTAAGAGTAAGTTCATTACTGGATGACTGTTATGAAAAATTGTATTGCGTGACTTTTAAACATGACATTCTAGAAGGTTCGCGAGAGTTCATAGTTTGTTTATTTTAGGATCTTGTGTAAGCGTTTCTAAAGCGGTATATTTGGTAATCTTTCTATAATTAGACTATTTGGAAAGTTCTAGAATGTTACCGTGAAAATATATAAGTAGGCGAGTTCCAGTTAAGTTTTAACTAGTTTTCACAAGCAAAGACAGTTTGACGTTAGTCGTGTTTAGTCAAGTGTGACGAAGGCAGTGTTTATTCAAGTTGGCGGAGGCCGTGTAAGTTTATCAAGTTAAGTGAAGTTGGCGGAGGCCGTGTAAGTTTATCGTGTTACGTGCTGTTGTGGAGTTTTACTTCGTGGAAACTACGTTCATTTTTTGGAATAAATCTTCTTGTTGCTGTTCCGACAACCCTGCGTTCAGTTTGGTTTGCAAGCTACCCTACAGGAAAAGCTCTCAGATATGGAGTTTATGTAGTGGTGGTCAGTGTAAAATACGGAATGTGGACTGGGTATAAAACACGGACCAGGTATAAAATGTGGACTCGAAACTACGGACTGAGACTGTATAAAACACGGACTAGGTATAAAACTTGGTCTACGGACTGTGTATGTAAAAACAGCTTTAGAAAGGTAAAACTGAGTGAAACGGATAGCGGACTAACATAAGACAACAGTTCCTGCTCCTTGCCTTACACACAAACATTCCTTTGGTTGGTCATGCAGTCTATTCTCCTCAATGTCGGTGTGGATAAGGAAAGCATAACTGCACAAGCAATGAAGGTTATGCTGCTACTCAAGGCAACTGAAAATGAAACTCTGAATTTTATGAAAAGGGGAAGTTAGAAGAGAATTCAATCTATAATTTTAAACTAATAGAAGATATGAAATTGAGAGGCAGGGAATAAAAAAAAGAGTATTAGTGTTAGTGAGAGTTAAATTCTTAATATATAGATTTAGCCAGGGCTAAAAGCGAGGCTCCCATTAATAAATTTATAGTTTAAATCAAACAATAAACTAGT